GCTGCAAACTTCCGACACCATTCCGCGACATGCTGACGAGACATTACAGTCTCTCTGTAAACCTCTACCAGCTGCGGGTGAATTTCAGACGCGGTTACATGTTTCGCCCACAGAAATCGAATAACTGTGCGGATTTATTGGCGAGACCAATTTTTCAAACGAGTCGTCATTTGTGTTTACCGACAACTAGCGATGTAGGTGGCGGATGGCTGAAACTCTGCACAGTTTCCAACTGCATGTATTAGAATTACCCACACTTCTCATTTCTTTATAACAAACGAAATTCCAGGAATATCGGCCTTGTAACCTTAGTTTTTGATCAACTCTCGTACAATCTGTATTATGAATTTCACCAATTTTTTCTTAGGTGTAATAAGAAAAAAAAACCATGACTTTTTTACTACACCTATGCCAAACTTGAAAATTTTTATAATTTTTTTATTTTGTTTTACTGATAAACTGTTTATTTATTTCACGTGTAAAAAAAAAAAATGTATACGTTAATGCGAATTTGTATACGTCGTCGTACCTGTACATCTGTCACTGTCATTACGAGTACTGGGGCAGTCGATCATTGCTTTTGACATATTTAAGAAAAGTATATCTAATATCTTAAAAACAAAAAATTCAAATATTTACAGTAAGGATGCACGTGTATTCGTGCATTCCTTACTGTAAATACATATTTGAATTTTTTGTAAAACATGTGTTGTACGAGGAATCAAGTTGTTTCTTCTTGGAGACAACTGTAACTTTTCTCTCCAATGGACATCGTCGCTTTCGAGATAATTTAATGGTTAGATGGACAATTGTGGAATTTAGATGGAAAAACATCAGGAGTCGGTGCCCATCTATCGCGTGCAATCTACATTAATTAGCCCTCGATTGCGTGACCGAACGATTTTATTAACAATTGATCCTCAAAAGCTCGTTACATATACGAGCTTTTGCGGTTAATTTCTTATCTTCACGTGAAACGAATCTTCTTCAGCGTTCCGAACGATTTTCCGGCACTCTTAAAAAATGCCTTTTATCAACTTTTTTCACTATGATATTCGGAATTGCACACGGGAAAAAAGCACGTTGGCATGTTTGCTAATGACTAAATGAATAAAATCTAAATAACTAAATGCCTTAACGATTAAATGCTAATAACTAAATGCATTAATAAAAGATAGTGACTAAATGATTAAAAATCAAAAGATTAAATGACTGAAAAATAATATGACTTCTACTGTTTTCACATGATAGAGGACCACTAACGTTCGTAGTGTCCCCAGCCGCCAATGCAGTCATTTTCACTACTTTTCTGTTCGCAGTCAATGACCAGATAATCCATTGACTCTGTAAGGGTAATAAATAAAATGTATTTGTAAAAATAAATGTATTTTAAATAAAAGAAAACAGATGGAACCACATAAATCTGAATTTTATTGTTCAGATTTTTTAAATATATTTTTACATATTTAAAATTCATAGCATTAATGTATTTATAAAAATTCATAACACTATTTCATTTTTCCCCATTCTCAAATTCTTTGGGGTTTGATTTTTGAGTCTTAGAATTGTTTATTTTTAACTTAGATGGATAATATCTCTCTTTTCTAGAGAATAATAAGTAAATTATTTATTGTTCTTTTAAATTTCTGTGTAAATAAAAAATAACACAAAATATCTGGTAATATGAACATCATCTTGTACTGGGATTGAGTGATCTAAAATTGAAAAAATACATATATAATTGTTCATTAATAAAGTCATATGTTTTATTTTTATCATTCATTGAAGTAGTAATAATAAATAAAAGATTAGATCCTTGTTTCTTCTGTCAATTATAAAACTTTATAGCAAAAGATGCGCATTTTCAAAGTCAGCATAATGGCAATTCTTTTCCATATTGAAATAATATTCGTCGATTTATGTTATGAACTATTGCTCAAAGTTTAAATTTATCTATATTTTTGGGACATCACAAACAAGTATTTTGTGTTTAGCTCTTTATGTAACTGTCAAATATTGTAAAAACAATTATACAACATTGTACTGCGCTTTAAATAAATAATAATAACCACTCGCATTATTAAGAAATACTTAATACTTTTAAAATATAAAAACATAAATTATGTATATTTTGGGACACAAAATAACGAATACAAAAGTAGCGAGTAGTTACTATTTGGGTAATCAAATTGATCAAGATTATTCTGATCGTTCAAATCGTGTATACAAATGATCTATAGCAATTTGATCAATCTCTATCCACGTAAACAAACACTATCTAGGATCAACTGGATCGCGATCAAATTAATCCGAGGATAGGATCGTTTGGATCGGATAAAAAAGATTAAAGATGGCAGCCTCCATGGTTAAAGTCAAACTTATAGTTGAGAACAAAGAAATAGGTTTTACTGTCGAAATAAAAAGTACTTAAAACTTGTAAATGGTAAGTGAAACATTATTATTAATTAAAATATCCGATAAACTAAGATGAAAAAATAAGTATTAACAGACAATTCTGCGAGATTGTCCGAAAAGAATTCATGGCGTGCACTCTCATTTTGCCGTTTTGTGAGCAATTTCATTCACAGAGTAAATACGATTCGATCACACTTGTATAATTTCCACCAACTAAAACACACGACAGAAAGGATTTGTATCACGTAACAAAGACAGATGTGATCCTGCAGATCGATCCATCTAAAACGAAATATATATGCAACCCTAACCGACTCTTATAGTTCAAGCACTATCTAGACCAGTGGTTCTTAACCTTTTAGTGATGAGGGACCATTTATCAAAATTTTTGTCTTGCCATGGACCACGAGCTGTTTGGCAGTAATATAGGTTCTTATAAGGTTGTTCTATAAATTAAACACATAAAAAATTATTCGGAACCAAGAGTATTATATTATTTGCGAAAGTGTTACATTAATTATATTATTTTAGTGCGATTTTTGTGACTGCATACTGTTTACCAACTGCTGAATTCTTGGTTCAGTGCTACTCAAAGGAAATGCATGTCGGCACTGGCATCCAACCGATATCGATGTTTATTTTTAATTATCAAAAGCACTGAGAATCCTTGCTCGCATAAATATGTGGTCGAAAATAAAGTTAGGTACTGTAAAGCAATATCTTGAATTTTAGGGAAAGCAATAGCTTTTTGGCTCCAAAAATCTTTAAGGTTAATTCCTGTCTCGAATGTATCCTTGCAGTTACTATCATTTTGCATTTCAATTAACTCTTCTTGTATTTCATCCGGCACCTCAGAAATGTTGACTATGAAAGGATTGCAAATCAGTTTCCGAATACCTTTGTCCTTGCAGTCAGGAAATAGTGATTAAATTTATTTTTCAAGCTTGTAATGGAATGGAATGTTCTTTTGTATTTGTCCTTTAATCTTGGCACACTGTCAATCAATAATTGGGTTCAATGTATCAAACGCAGAAAAATTCTCTCTTTCGACTTTGCTCATCCATAAGTCAATTTTAGCGATAAACGCACTGATTTTATCTTCAAATGCAAATTTATTGCTAGTGCCTTCCAATTTCATATTTCCTGACCACACACCATACCACAGCCCAGTCCGCTATCGGCTCTAACCTTGACATACCGCGCATTGTCATCAACTCGTCGTCATTTATTTAATAATTTTGGGATAACTTCATGGACCACTTCAGTTGCTTTCAGGGACCACCAGTGGTCCATGGACCACAGGTTAAGAACCACAGATCTAGACTCTTATAAAACAAACACTATCTAGGATCAACTGGATCCTAGATAGTGTTTGTTAGTTAAAAGTAGATGAAATCTGAGAAAGACATGAGAAAGAAAGTAGTTTTGCAGAAAAGAGAGAGGAGTCTGCAGTACGATGTAAAAATAATATAGAGGATCATCATTGAAATGTAGAATCGAAAGAAGTCTTCATCTTTATCTCTTCATCAAGAGTTACAAGAGGTCGTTCCTCAACTGTACACGAAAAGAAAGTTTTTGATATATGGTACTTAAAAATGGGAAGATAATGGGGATCGGGGTTAAAAGGAGTGAGATAATGGTGATCGTGTGTATCTGCACTTGGGTCGGACTTAATGACAATTTTACTCGTTATCATCATTTACAATTTTTTATAAAACCCATCGCTATTCTCAAAATAAAGCTTTTGTCATTTTATAATAGTTAAAAATATTAAAAGTGTTTTAATAAAACAGATAACGCCACCAAAATTTTAAATATTGCCGGGAAAGTTGAGCAACTCGTTGCTGGTTTATTTAGCATTTGATTAATATTATTATCATTTACAATTTTTTTACGAAAATTTAGTTAACTAGGTTGTAAGTATTTTAACACATAATTTAAACTTACTTAAAATTAAAACAACGTTTATATTAATTTAAATTTTNAAATATATATATATATATATATTTATGAATTGTTATTTACATTATTTGTATAATTTTAGTTTTAATCACTTTTTTTATCTTATTGCTAATAATATATTCGTTTTAATTAATCAGTTAGAAATTTTATTATATTTCAAACTTTATGTGTATTTTATATACTGTATATATATATTTTTGCTCTATCTGGTTGTGTAAAGAACAACATAGGCCTACTATCTTCGGACCCACATCTCGAAGATTGCGTATGCAAACGTGACACCGAGATTGTTTATCTATTAATCAACGTTGTAAAGGAGTTTCTCCTATTTTTTCGATTTTGGGAACCTCCTTTCCTACATTTTCAGTAATATCAATTTAAAATAATTTAGAGAAACAAATTGGAATTAAAAAAGTTATCAATTAATTAATAATATATATCTGTTATAAATCTCACAAGGAAGGAAAAAATGAGGGGATGCCGTCGTTTCCCCCTTTTCCGATGGTGTTATATAACGATGGTAAGCTATCCATGTCACATTGACGCACATTATTCTTCATTGACAAGAGAGGAGGAAGACCACTAGATGACCAATCATACATTTTACAAATTACTTCACCTTCCTCCGGAACAAAAACATGATTGGTCATAAATAATAAAATAGAAAGAAGTGGCGAAAATCAACAGAGTGAGACAGGATTAAGAAACTGACTGACTGACTGACTGGCCGGAGAAGATACAACCGACCTAGTGAAGGACCAAGTAAAGGAGAAAGAATTCGAAAACGAAGAAGATAACAGGGAGAGAAAGTGAAGAAAGAAGAGAAGACAACTCTTTTCCTGGTATGTTGTGAGTCGCGCAGTTCAGATCCCTCCGTTAGGTATCCTTTCGTTTTATAGATAAAAATAGATCAATTTCCTAAATCGGATTTTATAATTTTGTTCAGAACTTTGTTTTTCGATAATAAACTCTCGTTATTTGTACTTGACTCTGCATTCATTCTCCTGAGAGGCTCATTCTTGGACTTCGGAGTAACTCTTATCCTCGCACCTTAACTATTTGTTTTTTTTGTCTAAATCGACGGTGTGTCCGACAAAACACATCTGGTGCCTACCCTACCCCAAACTTGCGTAATCTAATTTTTGATTCATACCAATTAATACTAATTCATTGGACAAGATTTTAAAGATAATATATTTTATTTCATTAACAAAATTAAATTAAAGTTATTGTGCTAGGCGACAATTTTACTGTTTCTATCGATTTGTACTTATATTAAACAGCAGTGGATCCAGACGAAGGGAGCAATAAAAAAGGTTTTTTTATCTGCTTCCGGTGCTTCTGATTTATTTATTTGTATTGAATAATGAAAAAAAGTCAAGAAGCAGCACGCTGGGTACAATCTAAACCAGGGGTCGCCAAACTTTTTTAACCATCGATCCCAACCACTTTCCAAAACCTCACATTGACTCCCACCGTAAAGTTCTATTACAAGTGTATGTGTATGAGGAAAAAAAAAACGTTGTGATCTCTGTATAAGAAAAAAAAAAATTCTGACCCCTTAGCCGCATCGACCCCCGCAATGATGTTGCATCGACCCCTGGAGGTCGATATCGACCACTTTGGCGACCCCTGATCTAAACCATCAATACGAACAAGACATAGATGGGTTTGACAGTTTTAAGTTTTAATGTCTACACGCTGAGTTTTTGGGTTATTGGAATATTGTAAGCTTGGGAGCGATCGCCCAAGCTTCCAATATTCCAATAACCCAAAATCGTTTCCATGAATCCGCGCCTGATATTAAATACAAATGACTTAATAAATAAAAACAAGGAAATTGTTAGAATACGATAAGTAAAAAGTATAAGTTTCACTTCCTCTAGATTGCCATTGGGTGTTGCAATCCCGTCCTTTCACAGCACGCAGAATTGTTTCTGTTCCAAGCAGAATGGACGATCAAAGTAAGCTTAAATCATTATCAATATAATTTAATGTTGAATATTCTGGTTATAGCTGTATTTATTCGTTTGTGAATTTTTTCTCTCTTTAATCCTTTTGGTAGACTATCTCACAGCAAAGGTTAATAAATTCTTTTATTAGTTTTCACATATGCATTTCGAACCGGTATAACATTTCCGGTTCCTCTTCAGTGTTCTACAATTATAAAAATTAAATTGATATAATTTAAAAAACTAACAAAGTAATTTGCCAAGTAACATAACATAAACACATCACAAATACCTCTAAGGGTTTTACACATTTCNGTACACAGTGTATTTATTAATTTTCATTTTCATGTAGTAAAGGCTCTATGCCTTCATACTTTTCCTTTGTTTAAGGGTATTTGGACAGTTATATTCTCAAAGAATTCTCTCAGTTATATTCGCTGTTATATTCTCAAGGAAACAATACATACAAGTACAGTACAGTATTTTCTGAGGAAACGCTCGTACTTATTTTTTTAACTCCATTCCCGATAACCCGGCATTTTCACAAACTCGGCCACCCTTCAATTCACATTTCGGTCCCTTCGGTCCGAAAACTCGGCCTATTATTAGGCCGAGTTTTCGAGGTTCTACTGTATAATTAATAAAATTCCTGAATTTAGAAAAATCATTCCTAAAATACGTTTAGTGAAATTTAATCGATATTTATTAATGATAATTTTTAGTTGAACAATAACTAATTAATCAGTCCATTGAGCAATAATGTTTGTGAACGACGTTTACCATCGACTTGTCTAGGTAAATCGTCCTGGATATGTTACCGCTAAAGCTCGAAAGTCGTTAATGTGTACATTACCTAGCTAATCTGCAGATTAACTAGGGTGATCCGTTAAAGTTTCTAAAATTGTTCTATTTCTCAAATTACCTTGGTAATACGCAGATTATCTAGGTTATCTGCAAATTACCTACTAGACACTCAGTTAAGTGAAAATAGGATTTTGCTGAAACAACAGCAACGTTTTTGCACGCTTAAATTAACATAATGTTTTTTATTTAATTTTTGATATCTAAAGAATCAAGTTAATACAATCAAACAATCAACAAATTAGTTAATAGAATCAATCATCAGCCAATTAATTAAAAAACTCATATAAAAATCAAATTGTTTAAAATATTAATACAATTCGGAAAATTATTATATAGATAACCATCTATGGAATTACAGATTATGAAATTTTTATTTATATTAAGTAAAAACATTTTAAATACTGGCTGCAGTTACATTTGCATTAGTTAATAATTATCATATAAAAATCAAATTGTTTTGTATAGATGATATTCAATATAATAAAAATGTAAGAAGACTTATTTTCTTTGTTTTTTTTTTAACTTTTTTGTGTATGTGGACACTAAGAACACCTTTTTACAAGCCCATTATGGGTTCAGTCAGGTCCACAATGAGCCGTCGGGAGATGGGAGACAGGAACTCGACATAATCAGATAGCCATGCCCTAAAATCTTCTGATTTCTGAAAATTTTGAATCCGGACGGATAGAAAAATCTGTCCTGATACGATCCCAGCCCTCCAAGGTTAATCGTTCGGTCATTCGTCCGTCACCGCCCATATATAGTATATATTGTATGTGTGGGAACCTAGAGGCCAATTTTTTGGTTAAATAGAAAATTTTAAAATTTTGTTAAACAGGAAACATTTGTGTTTTCTTTCGAACTTTCTTTCGATTTTGGAGGAGGAACTTCCTGATCAAAGTTGCTGATTTTGATATCAACTCAGCAGGAAAGTTCCTTGTTGTTTCTCTTCTCATATGATTTGTATAGCCCCAGATTATTGGTCGGACGAATATCCTACAAATAAGGTTCACATTAACGTTCTAGGAAAAGCTGGAATTGGAACGAAACAAACCAAACAAAACAAGAAGATTGCGTAAGAATTAAAGAATGTGTTGCTTTTGTTTTTGTAATTATTACAATTCAGTTAGTTAAAAAATATTAAGTATTTCTTAACAATGCAACTGGTTAATGACTTCGAAAATGCGATTAGGTATTGATTTAATTAAATTGTTTAAGATTTCTGGATCCATTTGAAACCAGCACACATTAATTTTTTTGTTGAACTTCTGAAACTGTTGTCAAATGCCTGTTGTTAGCTTAAATTTTTCGAGCAAGAACACCCGAATTGTTCTCAATCGGATTTATGTACGGACTTCTTCATAACTTGAACATAATAATGTTCGAGTCACATAGTTGTTGAGCGTGAACAATGAATACTGGCATTGTCCTGTTGAAAAATCCAATCAGGTCTTCCAATTTCTTCTCCGATAGGTAATAAATTATTTTTTAGTACTTTAAGATATAATTTTCGGGCTTCCTGTTCACTAGAATGTTTTGGTGATGATTTTCCCAAAATGTTATAAATTCTAGTAGATCTTTTCATTAAAACGGCAATTTTCTTGACACTACAGCCTTCTTTTAATTTCCATATTCTTGCAATTTCTTTCATACTAAACTCCCTTCCAGGTGGCATTTTGGAAAGTTTTTGATTCAATATTCAAATTATTACTTGACAACAAAGTTAAACTATTACTTGGCATTATTTATTATTATTTTCGTAATTTTAAGTTTATTTTGATTGTAATTTTGCTATTCTGTTTTATTATCTATACTTTTGGGAATGCCAACAAATATGTTTTTATTGTCAAATTATTAATATAATAATCTTTAATTTTGAAATTATCAAAAATCAGTGTAATGTGCATACATTCTCTGTAAACTATTCTCCCTGTTAATCAATAGACCTATTTCTGTATAGTTAGTGAGAAATTAAAACAAAGTTAACCTTTACAAAATTTCAGATGTCACTAAAAATAATATTGATAATAGCATCAAATATTGACTTGAATTTTTCTTACATTAAGTTGATTTATTTTTATTTATTTAATAAGATACATTAAGTAAATTTTACATCAAAAATCTTTAATACAAAATTATTATATTTTCTTTTATAATCACAAAACAAATTCACTTTTACTGAAATTATTTCTTTCTAGATAAGTTTATTCCAACAGCAGTTGCTCCCGGAAACAGGTATGATTATCTATTTATTTTGTAAATATAAATAGTTAAAGAAATATTTATATGACAATATTATTTTGTTTTGTTGTTCAGAAATGAAAGAACCTATCCCTCTCCAGAACCTAAGGAAACAAATGAACCAACAGAAAAAAGTTCTGGAAACGATGGAAAAGAAAAAGAAAAGGAAAATAAATGTTGAATAAACGAATTAAATATGAAAACAGATAATACTAAATACTGAAAAATGTTTTGATAAACTTTGTATGTCTTAATTAAATTTTTTACTGCATTCATTTCCAGAGTTACGTATGCTTATAGTCTAGAAAACTGAAATATATAATGATATCGAGACAAATATCCTAGTTTTACTGTAAATATTATCTTTTTTATTATATTTCATGCTAGTGCATTTTTCCTGTAGGCGGAATTATCACACTGGACAGAAAGTAATTGAGACACTTTTTTCCATTCCTATGTATTTACTGCGAAATGCATTTCGGACCTATCAGCTCCCTCTTCAATCACTATACATAGATTTCAAAATTCGATACAAAATATGAATTTGATGAGTTCTTGCTGTTTTATGGTGTCACACAACGGTAATTTACAAACGTGCTTTAACATTGCTTTCGGGTGTGTTTCCCTCCGGCTTTACAAGTATGCGTTGGTTTCTTTATTTTTCCTCCTCCCCATCTGTTAGGAAACCCTCCTAACATCCAGACGGCAATAGAGACGATGACGAGATATCTCTTATAATCGTTACTTGTTTTTTTTCCTTTTAATTTCTTTTTCTCCCCGGCGACCTCACAATATATACATAGCCTATGGTGCGTTAGTTTCACTGCGATGTTTACAGCGAAATAAATAAATTTGTTATAGAAAAAGGAATGTCAAATCGCGTAATAATACTGCGGCAATTTGTAAATTTTCTTGTCATCCAAGCATAAGGATAACGACAACGCATCATTATAACAAGATTCAGAATATAATGTACAAAGAGTCGGTGACTGTAAAAGATTAAAACCAACATTGCATAATACAAAACAGATTGTTTTATTTTTCTATAGTACATTTTTAAAATGACCGCTTTCAGCGTGTAGGCCGTTGAGTGCAACATTATGGGTGTCACGTAGCATACTTATCGTTACAATCCTAAAAGCTTTTCGTATTCGGCTCTGCAGCTCATCAATCTTGGTACGGATCGTAATCTGTTACTTTTTGGTGACCCTACGGAAAAAATTCAATGAGGTTAAGTACTGGGAGTGTGGTGGAACTACTGGACTAGACAGTGTTGTCGTATTCATTGCTTATCGAACCGCTCTTTGATCCTGGGAACGGGCTGCTTATACAAACGAGCAGTAGATACTCAAACGGCAAATCGTCGAGGTATTCGTACACTCGTGTGTAAAATATTAAAATAGCCGTCATTGGTCCGAGTGCTGTGGGTTTAAGAACCTGCTCATTTCAGATGTCATATTAGACGTTTAGTTTTAAACGTATTTGGTCGCATGTTTCGCGTACATCGTGGAACACGGGGCAATTACATTATGGCAATTACACGCTTCATTCCGGAAAGTGCTTAATCAGTTCGTAAAATGTGCTCGAGGATTCCACAGATGGAATTGCTCTCCGCGATTTCTTTCTTACATGGTAAACGAACTACAGATAACACTGGAATGAGTGCATGTGGCAACGTAAAATATGATGTATTTGCGTCACTGCAAAACTGTCTCGCAGTATTTGGATATACAAGAAATTATGCCGAAATTTCGATGTGAAGACGAAGTAGATATGATTCGTGTTCTTCGAAGGTGTCACACTGGTTTGCATCAAGTGGCGTATTGTGTTCAGAATTGTTTCACGATAAAGATTATATAAGTTACTGGATCTACATAAGTTAATTCACAATTGCTCTGGGCTAAATCTTATCACATTTGTAATTCATTATTCTACATTTTATGACACAATAAATATTACATATTGACATTATAATAATTTTAAAAAATTTAAAAGTATAACCGTTCAAAAATATTATAAAACTAAATTTCACTCTAATAATGTTATATGGATATTTTTCTACGAATGGATCAGATAATAANCAGATAACAGTGGAATGAGTGCATGTGGCAACGTAAAATATGATGTATTTGCGTGACTGCAAAACTGTCTCGCAGTATTTGGATATACAAGAAATTATGCCGAAATTTCGATGTGAAGACGAAGTAGATATGATTCGTGTTCTTCGAAGGTGTCACGCTGGTTTGCATCAAGTGGCGTATTGCGTTCAGAATTGTTTCACGATAAAGATTATATAAGTTACTGGATCTACATAAGTTAATTCAGAATTGCTCTGAGCTAAATCTTATCACAATTGTAATTCATTACTCTAGATTTTATGACACTATAAATATTACATATTGACATTATAATAATTTTAACAAATTTAAAAGTATAACCGTTCAAAAATATTATAAAACTAAATTTCACTCTAATAATGTTATATGGATATTTTTCTACGAATGGATCAGATAATAAAAAGCAAAAAATATTAAGTACAGTATTTATAAATTGTTTGAAACGATAGTTTCATTTTAATTAAAAATTAATAGAATTAGAAATAAAATCATTATTATATTCCCCGCTGTTATGAATAAGAAGGAAAGTGTGAGATTAGCAGTGGGTCACTGGTTAATCCCCAAATGACCACTTACTTTGCACAGGCTAGTAAAACCCGATCTCGGGGTCGTTTGATGGCTAGGAGAGCAAGTCGAGTGGAGAGGGGTGAGGAAGCTGGCAGGTGTCCTTAAATGACAGGAGACAGGTTCAACAAAATAGCAAAGCATTTATTAAATGGCTAAGCTATGATACATAAGGCGATAACAATATATAGGTTAAATGCAGTTAGATACAACTCAGAATAAATGCTTCTAACATACTATACTCCTTCCTTCTAGGGTTAAACTAAAAATACGCTTAGGGAGAGAGAGAGTCCGCAAGTTCAAATAATTACCTCAAAGAGAGCTTTATGTGGCGATTAAGTGTTATGTGGAAATTTCTATGATCTTCTATGGTGTCTTCTCCTTTCATCGGGTCGAGTCCGTTGCACGGAGGTCCGGAGACGAGATGCACACATCGACAAGTATAACTTCCGAGAGATCGCCCTGAGCTTCCGAAGATTCGAGCTTTTATATCATTCGCCTGGGAAAACCGACACGTGATTGACTTTTGTTGACGATGACGGTGCATTCTTCACACCTAAGTGTAAACTTTCTCAGCTAGTTATTATACAATCGGTGAAATCCGATCTAGTTCAAATTCTTCGGGTTTTTTTCCGAAAATATTTAGACTTAACAGAAAATTTGAATTTTTAAGAGGCCCGTAAAAATCCGCGGCCTCACAAAAGTATGGCGATCGGTCAAAAAATGATCCTCAAAGAGTTTTATATCTTTGGACTTAAGAACATATTGGAACGTCTAGAAATCCAATTAAATTTAACAGTAACTTATTTTGATTTGTGAAGATCGAGGGACGAAGAGATGAAAGGAGTCGTATTCTGAGTAGGGTCGGACTTAATGACAAATTTATTTGTTATTATCATTTACAATTTTTTTTATAAAACCCATCGCTATTCTCAAAATTAAGCCTTTTGTCATTTTATAATAGTTAAAATTATGAAAAGAATTTTAAATAAAGTATAACAGATAACGCCACCAAAATTTTAAATATTGCCGGGAAAGTTGAGCAACTCGTTGCTGGTTTATTTAGCATTTAATAAATATTATTATCAGAAAAAATTCAATATTTTAGACAAAAATTTTTTTGTATATACTGTACATAAACGTGCAATTGTTTTTATACATGTTTCATGACAAGATTTTAAATGATTATGAATTTTATTTCATTAATAAAATTAACAATATTAAATTAAAGTTATTGTGCTAGGCGATACTNTTTATAAATTGTTTGAAACGATAGTTTCATTTTAATTAAAAATTAATAGAATTAGAAATAAAATCATTATTATATTCCCGGCTGTTATGAATAAGAAGGAAAGTATGGCGATCGGTCAAAAAATGACCCTCAAAGAGTTTTATATCTTTAGAATTAAGAACATATTGGAACGTCCAGAAATTCAATTAAATTTAAGAGTAACTTATTTTGATTTGTAAAGATCGAGAGGCAAAGAGATAATTTGCCTCGTTGCTGGTTTATTTAGCATTTGATGAATATTATTATCAGAAAAAAATTTAATATTTTAGACAAAAAATTTTACGTATATACTGTACATAAACGTGCAGTTGTTTTTATAGGCCTAAATGTTTCATACTAATTCATTTGACGAGATTTTAAATGGTTATGAATTTTATTTCATTAAGAAAATTAACAATATTAAATTAAAGTTATTGTGCTAGGCGATAATTTTACTATTTCTATCGATTTGTGCTTATATTAAATACAAATGACTTAATAAATAAAAACAGGAAATTTGTTAGAATACGATAAGTACAAAGTATAAATTTCGCTTTCACTAGATTGTCATTGAATGTTGCAATTCCGTCCTTTCACAGCGTGAATTGTTTTTATTCCAAGCAGGATGGACGATAAAAGTAAGCTTAAATCACTATCAATATAATTTAATTTAAGCTAGTTTTATTGATATCAAGAAAATCTGAAATCGAATTGATAAACCTGTTCGGATTCGATGCTGGGTTCCCAAAACGGCAGATGCCACGGTAATCGCTCGATCACTTGTTTGTCTAGCCCCGTATATAAAGTATATATTGTATGCATATAGTGGTAGATCGAATCCGGGAAGTCAGATAAATATTTTTCGTTCATGTAGGTCTCGTAGCCTCTATTATTTACGATTTTTATTTTTTTACAGTCGTTGGTAGATACCGAGCATAAGTTTAATACGGAGGCCATCGCGGCGGCCTAAACTCCAAAAAATTATGATTAGTTCGTTTGAAATTGAATGTTACAAAATCCCATCTTGTTAGGCCGAATCTTATTTCGCATGGTCCTTTACAAGGGAGTCCACGTTTGAATCGAAGCCAGTCATTTAAAAGTTTCAAGTCATAAACCGGTATTGTTGTAAGCCAGATTTATGTTCGTATGGGCCGTACCACGATAGCTTATGGCGTGAATTGAAATATATATTTTTTAATTTAG